GCGGAGGTTGCAGTGAGCTGAGATCACGCCACTGCACTCCAGCATGGCTGCCTGATGGATCCCAAGAGCAAAACTCCATCTCAAATAAAATAAAACATAACAAATTTAAGGGTCTCACAGGAAAGGAATCTTAAGGATTAGAAGATATGTTGGGAGATATGTGTCCCTTTTTTTTTTTGAGAGGTTGTCTTGTGCTGTCACTCAGGCTGGGCTGGAGTGCAGTGGCTCGATCTTGGCTCACTGTAACCTCCCCTCCCTGGTTCAAGCGATTCTCCTGCCTCAGCCTCCCAAGTAGCTGGGGTTGCAGGCGTCTGCCACCAAGCCTGGTTGATTTTTTTGTAGAGATGGGATTTTGCCATGTTGGCCAGGCTGTTCTCGAACTCCTGACCTCAAGGGATCTCTCTCTTCTTCTGGAACTTTGTTTTCAATAGCTCATGCCTGGGAGGAAATACAGACACTGTCTACAGACACTCTTCATCCATGATTTAATGACTGTAGCAGAAGGGACTGAGTCAAATGTCAGCAGGTGCACTGCACAGAGATCAAACACAGAGCTGAGGTTCCTGAACTGTGAGTGTGAGACCCAATCTAGATGCTGAAGTAAAGCATAGTATCCCAGTGACTAGAGAAGCTAGGCGGGAGGATCGCTTGAGGCCAGGAGTTCAAGACCAGCCTGGGCAACACGGCGAGATCCTGTCTCTACAAAGTATTTAATAATTAGCTGGGTGTGGTGGTGCACATCTGAACCCTCAGGTACTGGGAGGTGAAGCAGGAGGATCACTTGAGGCCAGCAGTTCAAGACCAGCCTGGGCAACATAGCCAGACCCTGTCTCTACTAATAAAATTATAAAAACCAGGTGGGCATGGTGGCACACACCTGTTGCACCAGCTACATGGGAAACCGAGGTAGGAGGATCATTTGAGGGGGGGAGGTCGAGGCTGCAGTGAGCAAATGATGCCACTGCACTCCAGCTTGGGTGACGGAGCAAGACCGTTTATAAAAAAACAAACAAACAAAAAAAAACAAAAAAGCAATTCCTCGTCTACTCATCAATAAATTAAATAATGAACAGTTGATATGTTGAAGTTTTTTTCTGCGTGTAATTGGAGCTACTGTAAAAACTGGAGTGTTTGTTTCCTGGCAACAGGACTTCCCGGCACGTCGTGCAATTGACGGACCTTGTGCAGAGATACTCTCTACTGTCATTTCTTAACAGGAACATGCATCGGGTGGTGGACAAACTAGAAATAACGGTAACGGAAATAATCCACGAATGTTTATCCCCGACCACTAAAGATTTTTTTTTTTTTCCCGAGATGGAGTCTTACTCAGGCGCCCAGGCTGCACATGCCCCGGGTTCGGAGTCCCACATTCCCTGGGGTCCCGTCTCACAAGCCATGGGTTCCGCGTCCGAAATTTCTGGGGTTCCCCTTCCCATATTCCCGGGATTCCCTTTCCCGCATTCCCCGGGTTCCGCATTCCCCACGTTCCCCTTCCCACATTCCACGAGTTCCCCGTCCCACATTCCCCGGGTTCCGCATCCCACATTTCCGGGGTTCCCTTCCCACATTCCCCCGGGTTCCCCGTCTCACATTTCCGGGGTTCCGCATTCCACATGCCCTGGTTCGGAGTCCCACATTCCCTGGGGTCCCGTCTCACATGCCGTGGGTTCCCCGTCCGAAATTTCTGGGGTTCCCCTTCCCACATGCCCCGGGTTCCCCGTGTTTCCTGTCCCGCATTCCCGGGGTTCCCCTTCCCACATGCCCCGGGTTCCCTGCCCCACATGCTCTGGGTTCCCCGTGTTTCCCGTCCCACATTCCCGGTGTTCCCAGTCCTACACCCCCCCGGGTTCCCCGTCCCGCATTCCCGGGGTTCCCCTTCCCACATGCCCCGGGTTCCCTGCCCCACATGCTCTGGGGTCCCCGTGTTCCCGTCCCACATTCCCGGTGTTCCCAGTCCTACATCCCCCCGGGTTCCCCGTCCCGCATTCCCGGTGTTCCCAGTCCTACATCCCCCCGGGTTCCCCGTCCCACATTCCCGGTGTTCCCAGTCCTACATCCCCCCGGGTTCCCCGTCCCACATTCCCGGTGTTCCCAGTCCTACACCCCCCTGGGTTCCCCGTCCCGCATTCCCAGTCCTACATCCCCCCGGGTTCCCCGTCCCACATTCCCTAGGTTCCGCATCCCACATGCCCCGGGTTCCCCATCCCACTCCGTGCGTTGCTCAGTGACTGTTGTCTGCAGCACGAGCTGCTGGCTGTGCCGAGACCCCTCCTAACTCCTGCCTCCTCCCTCCTCCCTCCCGCCAGGCCCTCCTGCACAGCAGGCACCACACACACTCCTGGAGCCCCGAGTGGCTGTCACAGCAGGCTTGCCCCCCCATGCACCCAGCCCTGCCTCCGGCCTGGGGTTAGGAAAACCAGGCATGGCAGGGCTGTTCTTGCTAGGGCGTCCCAGGTAAATCCTTCAGCATGGAGCCAGAGGCGGGAGGTCTACGCGGTCCTGCAGGGAGAGCTGATGGGAAGGATGCATGGAGCATCACACCCTGAGCACCTCTGTCCTGCAGACACAGGGAGCACCGTCCCCAGAGCAGCGGTGTCCAGCAGATGCAGGGAGCACCACTGCCCAGCAGACACAGGGAGTACTGTCCTCAGAGCACTGGTGTCCAGCAGACACGGGGAACACCGTCCCCAGAGCACGGCTGCCCAGCAGACACAGGGAGTACCGTCCTCAGAGCACTGGTGTTCAGCAGACATGGGGAACACCATCCCCAGAGCACGGCTGCCCAGCAGACACAGGGAGCACTGTCCATAGAGCACCGATGTCCAGCAGATGCACGGAGCACCACTGTCCAGCAGACACAGGGAGCACTGTCCATAGAGCACCGATGTCCAACGGATGCAGGGAGCACCACTGCCCAGCAGACAAAAGGAGCCCCGTCCCCAGAGCACCTGTGCCCAGCACATTCAGGGAGCACCGTTCCCAGAGCCACTATCCCCTACATGGAACATTCTTGACAACTATCATCTACACTGCACTCCAGCCTTGGTGCCTGATGTATCCTAAAAGCAAAACTCCATCTCAAATAAAATAAAACAAATTTAACGGTCTCACAGGAAAGGAATCTTAAAGATTAGAAGATATGTTGGGAGATACGTGTCCCCCCACCCTTTTTTTTTGACAAGTTGTCTTGCGCTGTCACTCAGGCTGGGCTGCGGTGGAGTGGCTCGATCTTGGCTCACTGCAACCTCCCCTCCCTGGTTCAAGCGATTCTCCTGACTCAGCCTCCCGAATAGCTGGGATTACAGGCACCTGCCACCACATCCAGCTAATACTTTTATTTTTGGTAGAGACAGGGTTTCACTGTCTTGGCAAGGCTGGTCTCAAACTCCTGATCTCAGGTGATCCTCCTGCCTCAGCCTCCCAAAGTGCTGGGATTAGTGAGCCACGGTGCCCAGCCAATTGTGTTTCTTTAAAAACTAGAAAGGTACCCAGAAACCTTGGGGGGAAGAGGGGCATGGAGGTGCCCAGCACCTCTGCCCGCAGGCCTGGCTGACGTTGGATGCTGCCGAGTTATGGCTCGGGAGGTGTCTCCTCTCAATCCGTGCGGGCACCTGCGGCCGCGACCTGGAAGTTCTCCCCTCACTCTAACCTGGGGCTGCCCTGTTGCAGCTCTTGTGTGGTTTCCTTCTGTGGCCTCGGTGCCGTGGACGCCCGTGGTCACGGAGGTCAGCCGTTACCCTTCCCCCCACACCCCACCTGGCCCAGTACCTACACCCAGGATAGCTTCACACAGCCGCCCACCTGGTGGTTCTTTTGTATTTATTATTATTATTATGTTCTTGTTTATTTGAGGTGGAGTTTTGCTCATATCCCAGGCTGGAGTGCACTGGTCTGATCTCGGCTCACTGCGACCTCCGCCTCCCTCCTGGGTTCAAGTGATTCTTCTGCTTCAGTCTCCCGAGTCGCTGGGATTACAGGTGCCCACCACCACACCCAGCTAAGTTTTTTGTATTTTTTTTTTTTAAGATGCGGTTTCACCATGTTGGTCAGGCTGGTCTTGAACTCCCGACCTCAGGTGATCCACCTGCCATGGCCTCCAAAGTGCTGGGATTACAGGCGTCAGCCACCGCGCCCGGCCGAGTTTTTTGTATTTTTACTAGAGATGGGGTTTCTCCATGTTGGTCAGGTTGGTTTTGAACTCTCGACCTCAGGTGATCCGCCCACCTCGGCCTCCCAATGTGCTGGGATTACAGGTGTGAGCCACCGTGCCCGGTCACGTCTACCTGTTTAGAGATGCCTTCGTGTCTCTGTGTACCCACACACACACATCCACAGGCATACCCACGGACGCAGACAGACACACATGCATCACATGCCACAAACAGGCACCCACAGACACGCACGGACACGCAGAGATACACCCGCAGACAGGGACATGCAGACGGAGACAAAATGCAGAGATGGGCACCCACAGACGTGGACATGCAGAGACTCACTGACAGGTACCCACACGCAGACAGATGCAGGCACACACACACACACACATGTACAGAGATGCAGAAACACACACAGACACACAAACGCGGATGCAGCAGTCACATATGCACACCCACAGCCACACACCATGCACACAGATGCAGACACACACACAGGCACACACATACACGCAGCAGTCACATATGCACAGACACCTATGACACACACCACACAGCACAGACATGCCATGCACACACACATGTGCAGACGCAGACACAGAGACAGAGTATCACGCACAGACACACAAGGTCATACCACACAGAGACACACATACACACACACCACACATACAAGGACATAGCACACAGAGACACACAAGCACAGCACAGTCAGCTATGCACACAGACACCCAGAGACACACAGCGTGGAAACGCACACGCAGAAACACGCATGCACGCACGCCGCCCCGCGTGCTCTCTGGAAGGCGGTGAGGCAGCAGGGCAAACGCTGGGAAGCCTCACCGGCAGCGAATCGGACCTGAGCCGCCTGCGGCCCGGCGGGTTGGAAGTGTGCGGCCAGCTCGATGGTTTCGGGGAGGTCGAACACGGTCACCTGCAGATGCGGGTTCTCCCGGACCAGCTCTTGGGCCAGCGCGCCGCGGAAGCAAATGCCTGCTGTGCGGCCGGGTCGTCCCGGCGCCGATGGAACCCTGACCACCCTCCAAAGCTCTATCGAGCAGAAGTAACGTTCACGCAATGGCCGGTGCCACAGCAGCCATTCTGGGCCACGTGTGGGGACACAGACTTGGAGGGAAATCCTTCCAGCCCGGGGTGGGGGTCTGTACTCCTCCCTTCTCCTTCCTGCCATGGGGATGCAGACACCATGGCCGGGGACGGTGGCTCACGCCTGTCATCCCAGCACTTTGGGAGGCCGAGGCGGGTGGATCACCAGGTCAAGACATCGAGACCAGCCTGCCCAAAAATTAGCCGGTTGTGGTGGCAGGTGCCTGTAATCCCAGCTACTCGGGAGGCTGAGGAGGAGAACTGCTTGAACCCTGGAGGTGGAGGTTGCAGTGAGCCGAGATTGCACCACTGCACTCCAGTCCGGGCAACCAGAGCGAAACTCCGTGTCTAAATAAATAAATAAATAAAATAAAATAAAATAAAAATAAAGCAAAGCAGTCTTACCATAATTATTCTTTCAATAAAACTGGAAAGAGAAAAATTATGTTTCAAAGCCTGTCGTCACACCTGCTGTTACATTCTGGTCTTGTCTAGCGGTTTTTGGTTTTTATTATTTTCTCCAGTTTGTATTCAATTCTAATTCTTCTGGCTACAAGCCTTCAAAGTAATGTTTTCAGGTTTTTTTCCTTTTTCTTTTTGCCATTTGTTCTAACTGAAAACCACTGAAACCTAAGCTGTGCTTTCTCATAGCTCTATGAATGAAAAACTAGATGTTTCAACGGGGGATGGCTGGAAGCCCTCCAAAATAAAGACCGGGAACAAACCAGTCTTCTCCCCTCCAGTGCTCTCCGCCATGTGATTAGGCTTCCAGAAGAAGCAGACACCCACTGCCTAGGCGCCTAGCACCCACAATCAAATCTCCCCCACCCAGGGTTCCAAAAAACACTTCCCACAGGCCACCTGCAAAGCCAACTTTCAGCCACTAGGACCCACTCCATCCCTAGAAGACTGAAGTCCCTCTTTTCTCCCACATCACTAGGAGTCCTGGGTCACTCTGCCCCCTCCCCTCATCCCTAGGGGTCCCGGGTCACTCCCCTGCCCCTTCGCTATGGGTCCTGGGTCACTCTCACCCCCTATCCCTAGGGGTTCCAAGTCAGTCTCCCGTCCCCCACTCATACAGGTCCAGGTCGCTCTCCCCTCCCTCATCCCTAGGGGTCTCTCTCCTCCTCCATCCCTAGGGGTCCCGGGTCACTCTCCCCTCCCCTATCCGTAGGGGTCCCGGGTCACTCTCCCCGCCCCCATCCCTAGGGGTCCCGGGTCACTCTCCCCTCCCCCATCCCTAGGGGTCCCGGGTCACTCTCCCCTCCCCTATCCCTAGGGGTCCCGGTAACTCTCCCCTCCCCCATCCCTAGGAGTCCCGGGTCGCTCTCCCCTCCTCCATCCTTGGGGGTCCCGGGTCGCTCTCCCCTCCCCCATCCCTAGGGGTCCCGGGTCACTCTCCCCTCCCCCATCCCTAGAGGTCCTGAGTCGCTGGGCCCGGCTGGTTCGGCCCCTCCGTCCCCGTCCCCCCGCCCCGCCCAGGCCCAGGCCGCACCGCGTTGCTGAGGATCTCCTGGCGGCGTGGAGAGGCGCTGGCCAGCACCACGCGTTTGTGCAGCAGCTTCCCGATAACCGGGAACAGCACCATGGCGTCCACGCCGGGAACCGAGAGGCCGCAGACTTCAGCCCGGAGCCGCCGGCGTGAGCGGCGCGGATCCGGAAATACCGCGGCCGGAGATACGCCTCCGCGAGTCCACGCCTAGACCACGCCTCCATCGACCTCCCGCGAGGTCACGCTAAGCCCCACCGCTCTTGATCTCGCCACTAGGCCACGCCCAGACCACGCCTCCATCGACCTCCCGCGAGGTCACGCCCAAGCCCCGTAGCCATTGACCTCCAGTGAGGCCACGCCCATACCACGCCTCCATCGACCTCCCGCGAGGTATCGCCCAAGCACGCCTCCATTACCTCCCTCGAGGCCACGCCCATCCCACGCCTCCATCGACCTCCTGCGAGGTCACGCCCAAGCCACGCCCCTATGCCCTTGCCTCTAGGCCACGCCCAGGGCACACACCTCCGGGCTCCCGTCAGGCTCCGCCCCCGCTGCTGGCGAAACTCCGCCCTTATCCTGGCCTCCCGGGCTCTGTCCGCGCCCCTGGCGCTAGCCCCGCCCGCCCGCGGAGGCTGACATTCCCGCTGGACCCGCAGGTTGGGGGCGTCCCTTGGGAGGAAAGGCGGGAGTGGATGTTTGGGGTTCCTTGCGGGCGCCACGTGGATCATGGAAATGCTGGTGTTCCCTTGGCTGTTGTACTGGGCAGCTGTGGGGCTGGAGGTTTCTTATCCGCACAGGAGGGCCGGGCTTTGACATGGGGGTCTTGTGGGCACCACGTCTGAGAATGTGGAGGAGACGGGGGTTCCCCGAGGGCCAGGGGTGAGTGTCTTGGAGTTGGGGGCTCCCTCTAGGCCAGGTGCGGGTGGCGTGGAGTTGGAGTCCCGGGTTACTCTCCCCTCCCCAGTCCTTAGGGGGCTCCGGTTACTCTCCCACCCCTAACCCTCGGGGGTCTCGGGTTACTCTCCGCTGCCCCATCCAGGTTGGAGGGGCGCGGATATGGGGGTCCCCGAGGGCACGGTGGGAGGGGCGTGGGGGTTGGGGGTTCTGTCGTGCCAGGTGGGAGGGGCGTGGATATGGGGGTCCCCGCGGGCATGGTGGGAGGGGCGTGGAGAAGGGGGTCCCCTCGGGCCAGGTGGGAGGGGTGTGGAGATGGGGGTCCCCTCGGGCCAGGTGGGAGGGGTGTGGAGATGGGGGTTCCCTCAGGCCAGGTGGGAGGGGCGTGGGGGTGGGGGTACCCGTCGTGCCAGATGGGAGGGGCGTGGGGGTGGGGGTCCCTGCGGCCATGGTGGGAGGGGTGTGGAGAAGGGGGTCCCCTCGGAGCGTGGTGATGGGCGCGGCGTGGGGACTCTCTGTGGGCGCAGGGTGGGCGCTGTGAGGTCTGGGGCACCTTGGTGTCGGCTGTGCCTTCACCCCCTAAACGGACCCCACCTCCAGGTCGCCGGGTCCCTGGCGCGCCGCAGGCTGCAGGGGGCGCCCGTGAGCTGTGCGAGGAGTTTTTTTCTTAAACCCCAGGAAGTTTCACACCCACCTGCTGGGTGCACACCCAGTGTGCTGTGGAGACTCGGGTACCGTTTCCCAGCCTCTGTGACGCAAAAGATTGTGAAATAAAATGTTAGAAATAATCATGTGGGCATTATGGTCCAAGGTAATAGTAATAATAATAATAATAATAATGTACCCAGATCATATTGCAGTCATGTCTATGCACAGAAAATAATTACACAGTTAATTTTGTTAACTGCGAAAATCCCACCATGTCCAGCACATTCTGGGGAAAACGAAGAACCGTATTGACAGAAGTCACAGAAGAGTCGGATCAATGGGAGGAAAAAAACATGGAAACCGTGTGATGTCTCTTTTTAAATATGGTAAGTTTTTGAGAAACAATTTTTTTTAAAGAGCGGCAAATAGATTGTGATTTCAGATTTTTGCAGGAGTAAGTGTCTCCATTTTGAAGCAATAGAAGGAACCACAGCTTCACAGACCGTGGTGCATATAAGATAAACGTCGTGTAGGCGAGTTTTGTTTCTTTCCTTGTTTTCTAATTATTTATTTTATTATGTGTTTATTTTGAGATGGAGTCTCCCTGTGTTGCAGTGGCCTGATCTCAGCTCAGTGCAACCTCTGCCTCCCGGGTTCAAGCGAGTCTCCTGCCTCAGCTTCCCTGAGTAGCTGGGAGCATGGTGGTGCATACCTCATATCCCAGCTACTCGGGAGGCTGAGGCAGGAGACTCGCTTGAACCCGGGAGGTGCAGGTCGCAGTGAGCCGAGATCGTTCCCCTGCACTGGAGCCTGGGAGACACAGCGAGAGTCCGTCAAAAAAAAAAAAATTCACCATTTCAATCTTCCATCATACAGGGCGTATTAGCGATGGTTCTCTAGGGGGACAGAACTCATATATATGTATATTCCATTATATATATATACATTCTATTGTATATATATGTGATAAATACACCTTATATATATTTCATTATATGTTATATATATTCCATTATAAATATGCATTTATATTCCATTATGCTGTACACACATTATAAATATATGTTATATATATTCCATTATCTATACACCTTATCTATATATTCTGTTATACATATACATTATATATATTCTATTACAAATATGTATTATATATCCATTATATAAACATATGCTATATATATTTCATTATATATACATTTTGTATATATTCCATTATATATACAATTATATATATTTCATTATAAATATGCATTATATATTCTATTTATATATATGTTATATATATTCCACTATATATACCTTCTATATATTCCATTATATATGTACATTATGTATATTCCATTATAAATATGCATTATATATATTCCATTATATGTGTTATATATATTCCATTATGTATACACCTTGTCTATATTCCATTATATATAAATTATGTATATTCCATTATAAATATGCATTATATATATTTCATTATATGTGTTATATATATTCCATTATATATACACCTTGTCTATATTCCATTATATATAAATTATGTATATTCCATTATAAATATGCATTATATATATTCCATTATATGTGTTATATATATTCCATTATATATACACCTTGTCTATATTCCATTATATATAAATTATGTATATTCCATTATAAATATGCATTATATATATTCCATTATATGTGTTATATATATTCCATTATATATACACCTTGTCTATATTCCATCATATATAAATTATGTATATTCCATTATAAATATGCATTATATATATTCCATTATATGTGTTATATATATTCCATTATATATACACCTTATCTATATTCCATTATATATAAATTATGTATATTCCATTATAAATATGCATTATATATTCTATTATATATATAAATATATGTTATGTATATTCCTGTATATATACACCTTATACATATTCCATTATATGTATACATTATATATAGTATTACAAATACGCATTGTATAGTCCATTATGTATATAAACATATATGTTATATATATTTCATTATATAAACATCTTATATAGATTTCATTATATATACATTATATATATTCCATTATAAATATGCATTATATATTCTATTATATATATAAATGTATATGTTATGTATATTCCTGTATATATACACCTTATATATATTCCTATATATATTATATATTTATATTCCATTATAAATATGCATCATATATATTCCATTATGTGTTATATATATTCTATTATATGTACACCTTATATATAGTCCATTATATATACATTATGTATATCCATTATAAATATGCATTATATATTCCATATGTTATATTTATTCCATTATAGATACAGCATATATATATTTCAATATATATACATTATATGTATTCAGTTATATATACCTTATATATTCCATTATGTTTATATATTATATGTTCCATTATAAATATGCCTTATGTGTTCCATTATATGTTATATATATTCCATTAAATATACACCTTATAATATATTCCATTATATATATACATTATGTATATTCCATTATAAATATGCATTATATATTCCATTATATATGTTATATATATTCTATTATATATACACTTTATATATATTTTAACATATATATACATTATATTCAATTATATATACCTTATATATTCCATTGTTTATATAATATATATTCCATTATAAATATGCATTATATATTTCATTACATATAAATATATGTAATGTATATATATTCATTATGTATATACCTTATATATATTCCATTATACATTATATATATTCCATCATAAATATGCATTATATATTCTCATGTATATGCATTATATATACCATTTTTAATATACACATATACATAAATACATATCTAATATATAAATATATAATGTATACATATAAATATATATAACTTCCATATGTATATATAGTAGCTAATTAGTAATTATATATAGATACATTTAAAAAGGAAGTATATACATATATAAAGAAGTTTTATTTATATATATTTATGTATCTATATATAAAGGACTTAATGACTAACTGACACAGTCACAAGGTCCCACCATAGGCCATCTGCAGGCTGAGGGGCAAGGAGAGCCAGTCCGCGTCCCCACAGTGAAGAACTTGCAGTTCAGTATTTAAGAGCAGGAAGCGTCCAGCACGGGAGAAAGGTGGAGGCTGCGAGGAGAGGCCAGGCCCTGTTTTACATTTCTCTGCCTGCTTTATACTCCAGCCGTGCCCCCGCGCCCAGCCAGAACTGGAGCATTTGGAAGGTGTAAGTGGACGTGGTGTCTGCCCTCAGGCCCCCTTCTCCCATTAGACGCAGGTCTCGCAGCCTCAGCACTGCTGATGTTTGGGGCTGGAGGCTTCTTTGCTGTGGGCCACCCTGGGTGCTAGAGGGTACTGAGCATCATTTGTGGGCTCCACCCACCAGGTGCCAGGAGTACCCCCCACCCCCA